TGCTCCTCTGCCAACATCCTCCATAGAGTAGTACATTCAGTACAAATGATACATCATTGACATCCAGAACCCATTCTTGTTTTGACAAACATAGGGTGGTGTAGACCCGCCATTATGGTATCATATAACATTTTCACTGCCCTCCAAATGCTGCGTTTCACCCATTCATCCTAAGAACCTTTGATCAATCTTCCATCAGCCCCTAGGAACAATTGACCTTTTATCTGTTATTACAGATATGATCTTAGCTGCCATCTAGCTGGGGCCCTACAATGTCTACACTGTTCAGATTGGCTTCTTTCACTTTACTAACACACATATAATTTTCCTCTATGTCTTTTTATGGCTTAATAGTTCTTTTAGCTCTGGATGTTATTTCATTCATTGTCTGGCTGTATCGAAGTTTATTTATTTATTCATTCACACAGGGACATCTTCCAAGCCTGAAATGATAGGAATAAAACAATTACAAATATCCATGTGTAGGTTTTTTGATTGATAGAAGTTTTCAACTCATTTGGACAAAAAACAAGGAGTTTGGCTGCTGAGCAAGACTGTCTAGTTTCTTACAAAGATGCTCAACTGACTTCCAAAACTTTTGTACCGTTTTGCATTCCCACCACCAGAGAATAAGAGCCCCTGTTGCTCCATGCCTTGCCAGCACTTTGTGTTGTCAGTAATTTAGGCATTAATCACTTTAGTAGATGTGTAGTAGTGACATGTTTCTGCTTTTTACAACATAAAAATCTTTGTTCATGAATCATACCTCTGGGTTTACAGCAATACTGGCTACAAGATTTTTGCCATAGTGGGATTGTGTGTAGGAAACTCATTCCTAGTGAGGTGACCTTACTTAATTAACCATGACTAACACAGCTAGCTGAACTTTTCCTAGGTTGGGTTCAGTGATGTTCAACTAACCACATACTTTGTTAAACTTTGTTCTCTGTGATCCATTTGTTTGAGGTCAAACAGGCATACATTCCAAAACACCCTTATTTTTGGAAGTCTGGGTATAATCTGTTACCTTAATCAGTTAATAATTTGTGTGTGTAGAGCCATCCTCTTACATTAGTGTGACAGTACTGTTGTTTAACATACTAACAGCTGTTTCTTAGTGAACGCTATTAAGTGCCCAACACTATTACAATCACAAGGAAAGTGCCATCCTCATTTTGTGTGTCAGCTGCAGATTCCTAGAAACAGTTTCTACCTGGGACACCCTCACCCCATGCAGAGGACCAGGCTGTGTCTAAAGTTCCTGCCTATATTATGTCAGGAAATAAACAAACAAAGTAAGTTCAACTCAAAGGATATATGTGTGTGTGTGTGTGTGTGTGTGTGTGTTTTATATCCTGGCCATCATTTCTCATACCTCCTCTCCTCCCAGCCTGTCCCCCCTACCTTCTCTCTGCCCTCCATCTATTCCTGCTCCGTTTCTATTCAGAAAATGGCATGCCTCCCATGGATATCAACAAAACATGGTATATCAAGCTGCAGTAAGACTAAGCACCTCTCCTCCTCTCCTTGTATTAAGGCTGGACAAGGTGATTTGTATGAGAAATAGGGTTCTAAAAACCAGTAAAGAGTCAGAGACAGCCCCTATTCCCACTGTTAGAGTCCCACAAGAGGACCAAGCTACACAACTGTAACATATATGCAGAATACCTAGGTCAGTCCCATGTAGGCTCCCTGGTTGTCCATTCAGTCTCTGTGAGCCTCTATGAGCCAAGATTAGTTAATTCTTTAGATTTTCTTGTGATGACCTTGACCCCTCTGGCTCCTACAATCAGTCCTTCCTCCTGATCTTCTATGGGATTCCCCAAACTGTGCCTAATGTTTGGCTGTGTGTCTGTATCTGTTTCTGTCAGTTGATGGATGAAGCCTCGCTGATGACAACTGGGCTAGGCACCAGTGTGGCCACAGGAGATGGACAGATCAGGGTACATATCCAGTATTGCTAGCAGTCTTAGCTAGGGTCATCCTGGGAGATTCCTGGGAGATTCCCATGCACCAGGTTCTTACCTGACCCTGAAACATGCCCCTTTTCCAATAGTCTTTTTCAGTGCTGTCCCTCTCTGATTACTCATGTTCCCATCCCTATCTGCCCTCAGTCCACTAAAAAAATCTCTTTATTTCTCCTTCCCAGGGAGATCTAGGTATCTCCCCCATGAACCCTCCTTGTTAACCAGTTTCTCTGTGTCTGTAGATTGCAACATAGTTATCCTTTATTTTACAGCTAATATCCACTTATGAGTGAGTAAATGCCCATGTTTGGCTTTCTGGATCTGGGTTTCCTCACTTAGCATGCTTTTTTTTCTAGTTCCATCCATTTGCCTGAACATTTCCTGGGGTCCTTATTTTAACCAGCTAAGTAGTACTCCATTGTGTAAACTCAGCACATTTTCTTTATCTATTCCTGGGATGAAGGACATATAGGTTGTTTTTAGGTTCTGGCTATGACAAATAAAGCTGCAATCCCCATTAAAACCGCAAGCCAATTCTTAACATACCTTAAAAGAACAATACTCAAATCCATATGGAAAAAAACCAGGATAGCTAAAACAATCCTGTACAACAAAGGAACACCCAGAGTTATCACCATGTCTAATTTCTACTATAGAGCTGTAGTAAAACAGCATGGTATTGGCATAAGAACAGACAATGGAATTGAAGACCCAGACATAAAGCCATACATCTGTGGCCAAAAATATACAAAGGAAAAAAGAAAGCATCTTCAATAAATGGTGCTGTTCTAACTGGAACCTGGCATGTAAAAGAATGCAAATAGATCCATATCTATCACCTTGCACAAAACTCAAGTCCAGTGGATCAAAGACCTCAACATAAATCCAGATACACTGGCTGTAACAGAGAAAATAGGAAGTAATCTCTAATACATTGACAACTTCCTGAATAGAGCACCAATAGCACAGGCACTAAGTTCAACAATTAATAAATGGTACTGAAAGGGGCAAACTAAAACTCAAAGGCTTCACTTTTAATAAATCACAATGGGGAGAAATTGTATGAATGTGGCAAAGCCTTAAGTTACCATTCAACTCTTATTATCCATACTGGAGAGAAACCATATAAATGTAAAGGTTATGAAAAAACCTTCAGAACAAATCCAATCCCCTAGCCTCTAGCTCTTGTATTGCAAGCAAAGACTCCAAGACAACCTTCCACTTAGACTTAGTAAGTACCTGGATCCTGTGTTTAGCAACAAACCACCTCCAAGAGACAGACAAAGCCATAGAAACCACAGAATGTTCCCTCCCAGGACCAACCAGTGAGAACAGGCTACCTGAAAGAACAGACAAAGCCATAGAAACCACCAATGCTCCCATCAAAATGCTAGTAAACCAGTTGTCCTGACTCTTGGAAATGTCCCTAATTGCTCCCCAAATGCCAATCAATCAGTATTTGACCCATACCTACTGATGCAATTCTGTGATTTTTTTTCCTTTAAATTCTGGCAATAGACAAGGGACTTCACTTCCTCCAGGTAGCTGCTGTGTCAACTGGCTGGACAAGGTCCCTACTAGTAGGATTAAACAATAAAGCCTTGCATTTGCAGTTTGGTGAGTCTGTCTCCTCGGTGGTCTCTGAGGGTCTTCAAGACTTGGGCACAACAGGTACCTTACGAAACTGAAAAGTTTCTGTAAGGCAAAGGACATCATCAATAGGACAAAACAGCAGCCTACAGAATAGAAAAAGATATTTACCAACTGGACATCTGACAGAGGACTGATTTCCAAAATATACAAAGAACTCAAAAAACTAGATATTAACAAACCAAATAATCCAATTAAAAAATGGGGTACAGATTTAAACAGAATTCTCAACACAATCTCAAATGGTGGAGAAACACTTAAGGAGATGCACAACATCCTTAGCCATCAAGATAATGCAAATCAAAATGACTCTGAGATTCCATCTTACACCAGTCTGAATGATCAAGATCAAACACACAAGTGACAGCTCATGCTGGATATGGAGCAAGGGGAACACTCCTCCATTGCTGGTGGGAGTGTAAACTTGTACAGCCACTTTGGAAGTCAGTGTGGCTTTTTTTTTTTCAGAAAACTAGGAATCGATATATCAAAGACCCAGGGGTATCATTCTTGGGATATACTCAAAGGATGTTCAATCAAATGACAAGAACATTTGCTCATCTATGTTCACAACAGCATTATTTGTAAAGGTATTCTTGACTACAGTAGATGAGCTCACTATGCTCTGCTTTTGGTCTCTGTGGCGCCCCCTTGTGCCTGTTCTTCCATGACTGCCACAAAGTCGGACTCCCTTCTTTTTCTTTATGAATGCACTTCATAAATGCATTCAGTTGTTCAAACTGAATTGTATCTTAGTTAGCTCAGCCCCAAAGACTCCATTTCCTGCTCTCACAGGTCGTTTGCCCTATTTCTTCCAGGCCACATTGGAGGAAGACATACTTCTCATGGAAGTTTCCCATTTTTCTGGGAGCAGAACGTTCAACAAAGAACATTCAATTTAATTAGCACATTAACATAATCACATCAAGCGTAGACACAGAGCTTGACAATAGGAAATTGGGTAAATGAACATGGGTGATTTCAGCCCTGTGCTTTATAATTAGGTAAAGAGGAGAACGCTTGATGCTGCCCTGTGTATTCAGTGTGCTGGTTTCTGATTTAAGAGGCTGGCGTTGTTGACACCAAAGATGCTTAAATTTGTCTTACTATTCAAATGAGACAACAGAGTAAACAAAGATTTTTCTATGCACAAGCACTTTTTGACCTTCTGTGCTCAACGTGAAAATGTTCTTTTGCTTTCAGCAGCATTCATCAGAGCCGTAACCCTGCAGCGAGGAGCTCTGTAAATGAAAACAGGTGTGAGTGCCAGTTTCCAGAACACAGAGTACTTAAAAGGTGACCAAAATAAACAAACAAACTCTCATGGAAAATTCTAGGTTTCAGTCTGCCTTTTAAAGTGTGCCAGGATCTCTGTTTCGTTTTTCAGTCAGCATCTCATGTGGTCCCGGCTGCCCTCTAATTCAGTATGGAGCTGAAAATGACCTTGAACTTCTGGTCGTCCTGCCTCCAGCTCGCTAGTGCCAGGATTACAGGTATGTGGCAGTCTTGTGCTGAAACTGTTCATAGACTTCCCATTTTCAGCTCTGTCCCCTCAACCAACTTTAGGTGATCTGCACTTAGGTCATTTTCTCAGCAGAAACTTTGAGACATAAGACAGGAAGCAAACAGGGCAAGCAGGTCAGAAGCAACTAAGACCCCATGTGGTTTTGATGCTATTTTTTTGACCACCTGGAGGTTGACAAGCAAAAGACAGAACATTTGAAGGACAGACAGTAGAAGGGGCATAGATACTGACATTGATGTCACACAAACCTAAACCTGCCGCTATGTTGGTCAATCCTTGTTGTCACCTTGGTATGATTTAAGGTCACCACGTATCTCTACATGTGTCTGTAAGGGTGATTCTGGAAAGGGTTACTGAGCAGAGAAGACCTGGCCCAGTGTGGGCAGCACCGTCCCCGGGCTGGGCTCTCAGACTGAATAAAAAGGAGAAAGTGAGCTGAGCAACAGTATTCATCTGTTTCCTGTCTGCAGATGTGATGTTACAAACCACCTCCTGCCTCTGTGCCTTTCCTGCCATTGTGGGTTGTACCGACTCAAACAGAACACTGAAATAAATTCTTCCTCTTTTCAGTTGCTCCTTGTCAGATATTTGGTCGCAGCAATGAGAAAAGTTAAGTGGGCTGGTGGCTCCCTCCCTTGGCTGAGTTCAGACCTTTTTTTAATTCACATGTGCATTTTCCATTCTAACGCTGTAATTATATTCTGCTCCTTGTTCCCTGTGTGAGTTATGAGCAGGGAGAGTGACTTATTTACTTGTGTTTTCCCAACACCTCAAACCTGAAAATAATGGCAGTCTCTCAAGGTGACTCTTCAGTAAATGAACCAGTACATGGGTGGGTGGATGGCTGTAGAGACACATGTGCAGCCCCAACCTCTGGCATAAACTCTAACCAGCTCCTCCTCAGCAAAGCCACAAAACTGCCATGTCACTCCAGAGTTCATCTTGAACCACTTGCTTGGCCATCTTTTTACCCCTTTTCTTGTAGCTTCCCTGCCAGTGATTTTGTTTTGAACTTGGTGCCACCGTTCATAAACTAGACCCTGGCCTTCATCATCACTACTTGCCTAATCCAGTGATTCTCAAAGTTAGGCATCTTCAGGGATTGGTAAGACATGAGTGGGCACTGGGGAGATGGTTCATGGGTAAAATGCTTCCTGTGCAAGCACGAAAACCTGAGTTCAGATCCAGAACCCATGTGAAAGCCAGGCATCATGATATACATCTGTAACCTAGTGCTTGGGGGGTGGAGACTGGAAGATTCTAGCAGCTTGCTGGCTAACCAGTCAATAGAAATAGCAAGATCCAGAGATCCAGGTTCATTAAGAGAACCTGCCTCAAAACAAGACATGAACAGTAGAGAAAGACATGTAACATCTATCTCTGTCTTTACACACACACACACACACACACACACACACACAGAGAGAGAGAGAGAGAGAGAGAGAGAGAGAGAGAGAGAGAGAGAGAGAGAGAGAGAATAAGGAAAGAGGAATGGAGGGAGAAATGGAGGAATGGAGGAAGGAAAGAAAGGAAAGGAATAAAGAAAGAAGGAAGAAGGAAGGAGGAAGGAAGGAAGGAAGGAAGGAAGGAAGGAAGGAAGGAAGGAAGGAAGGAAGGAAGGAGGGGAATCCACGTGGGGTTTCTGGGCCTCCTTCCTAGAGTCTCTGACAATGCAAAGGTATAAGGGGTCTGAGAAATATGACAGGTTCCCGATAAAACTGATGTTGGCATGATGACATTTGGTGACTCTACCAGTGATGTTTAACTCTCTTGTAAGGATTCCATCTTGGAAACCAGGATGCAGGCAGTAGACAGCTCCATGATACTTTGGGGCAGCAAAATCAGGCTTGATGGTTAGCTGGTTAGATGGTTAGCTCATCTTCCAAACCAAGAGTTTCAGATCACTGGTGTCTCAAAACACTGGAGCCGAGGATGGTGGTGGCCAGTTTAACAGTGGACTGTGGAGTTTTGCGGAGGGGCAAGCACTTAGGTTTGCCATTTTCTGCAGTTAATTCTATAGGCCACACTATAGGCTGAAGTGATGTCATTTGTCTCACAAAAAGCCTAAAATGTGACAAAGGACTCTCACCAGCAGTCAGAGCAGGAGGACTCCAGCATGCCACCACTTGGGTCCCCAGCCTGCTCCAGATCCTCAGTAGTCCTTTTCTTGAGGGCAGCCTCTTCCCTGGTTCTTTATTTTCTGTTGGGTCTCTTTTTTCCCCACCACTACTTCAAGTTAGGGGTGTCTTCTCCCATTCCTTCCCTGAGCCTCACCTCCTTGACCCCCCCCCCTTCTTTCTCTCTCAATCTAGCCAACTCCATTGCTCATCCTCTCTTGTCTCGGGCCCTGCTCCTGCTTCTGCTTCTCTGACACACGGGAGAACTCTCACAGTAAAAATGAATGAGGTCAGGATGACAGCATCCCTCAGGGTCCCTCCCCGTTTTCAGACTCAGAGAGACTGCGCCTTGGAGGAAGTTCATTGCTGGAAAATGCTGAGGCACTTTAGCAGGCTGGGAGGCAGGGCTAACCGAAGCACTTGGGAGCCTTCCCTTTGCTCCTTTTCTATGGCTGTGATATCCTGTAAAGACAAGCCTGGTGCAACGCCTCAACCTGAGGGGGAAGGGGAGAGCAGGATTATGTTTCTGTGCCCTAGACAATCTCTTCCTAGCAGTAATTAAGCCTCCTGAGTTAGAACTTAATAAAAATGCCTTTGCCGTGGGTTTCTAGGGTTCTCTGATGAGGAGAACAGAGAGTGAAAACATTTTGGGAAACACAAAAGGAGGTTTCAAAACTCAGGCAGGGTGGAAGCCATATACCTCCTACTATTCGCTCCTGTAGTTTTTAGTGACACAGAGCTTTGCAGAGACTGAGGGAGGCTTGGGGGAGAATTTTCCTTCCAAACCCTGACTTTAAAACTCAACTCAGATAATGAATAGATCCCCATGTTCAAAGAAAGTTGCACCTAAGCTCACTGCTCCTTCCAGAGAGCCTACCAGGAGGAACTCCGTCAGGGGAAGACGCCATCATGAGCACCTAGGTTCAGGGAAAACTTTGACTGTGGAGAAAACCTCACAGTAACCTCCACTCATCCTTTCTGCCACAGCCACGCGAGCAAGTCCTAAAAATGTGGACAGAGAAGAGGACTAGTGGGGAAGGTGACAATGAGGAATGATGGGAATGTAGGAGCCATGGCATGTGAGTTCTATTCCTGCCTGTGCCCTTATTTTTCTTGGGTTTGGATAACAAGAAGTCAGGGATCTGGTCCACCAGTGTCTTCAATGACATAGTGGGATCAATCTCTCTCTCTCTCTCTCTCTCTCTCTCTCTCTCTCTCTCTCTCTCTCTCTCTCTCTCTCTCTCTTGCCAATGCCAACTACCTTTATGAACTGTGACCTTTGGCCCTGAGTCACAACTCATCCAAACAGCTCAAATGTCCTCAATGTCTCGGAGCCTGTCTCTTCACCTGTAACACAGACATGGGAGGAAGTGATTCCATTTGTGGAGAGGATTGTCAACCTGAGAAAAGTGTATTAACTGCATTCTAGCTTCATGGCTTCAACTTGAGTGGCCTCAGCCCAGTTCTATATACATCTAAAAGCTTAACTGTATTGAGGCCAGAAAAGAAATCAGTTGATTTTTTCACCTCTCATCCTGCTCTGTGCCAACTGGTCCTCTTATTACTCAGTAGGAGTGTCGCGTACTCAGCCTCTCTGACCGCCACTCTTGTCTCCTCTTTTTGGCTAATATTCCATATAGATGTCTTCTTTCTCCCATCACAACCTTAGTCTGTGCCCCAAGACTCCAAACCACCTGGATTAACAATAGTTCCTGCTTCAATTCCTGCCTTCATCGTTCACACAACCAGAGGAACATTTTAAATAATAAATCAAGGTCAGGCTCTGCTATCAACCCTCAATGGACTCCAACAGAGTCTGCCCTCCCTGCTTTGGCCCACGGTCCTCCGCACCTAAGCTGATCACTGGCCAGCCTCATCTTCCTCCCTCATCATTCTGCACTCTGCCTCCACCATGCTGCTCCCCATGACTCTCCAATATGAAGGACTTGCATCCAGGATCTTCTACGAGCCATAACGCAGTGGCCTCCATCCTTCCTTCTCCAGATAGTTGCATCCTTAGTCTCACTTCCTGAATGTCTCTGACATTCTGGATCCCGCATCTGGACACAGCACTGCCAGCCTCTTTAGCCTCTTTATGCTTTGGTGTGTTGCTCTGCTTCTTCGCAGTGGGTTACACTCCTGGCACAACATTTCATTGTTTCTCATGCTAAGTGGGGAGATCCACGTGAACAGGACTTCATATGTCTCATCTTCTCTGCCTTCAATTTCTACATATATTTCTAACACACCAGCAAGGAGTAAGTAAGTACTTGTAGGATCCACAGATAATCTAGAAATAGTGCCTGGCACATTCAGCAAGTTCTTATTGCGAGTGTGACTCATACACTGCTGCCTAGCCATGCATAAAATTCCCCCAAGATAAAGAACTCTATATCATAATTCAAACTGAGTATTACTTCGTTGAATAAGTACCATAAAAGGACCTTAACATCCTTTTACTTCACATTGCCCAGGTCAGCCTTTTGGATAAGTTTTATTAACCTCAGTTTGCAGATGAGGAAAAGAAAAATCAAAATGTCCAATGATCCATTTCTCCACCATCTAAGGTCACAAGGTGGATCAGACAACAAGCTCCAGCTCCAAGTGCAATGCTCTTTCAGCCACAGCCACATTCTGCTTCCAGAATCCCAGGCACAGTGTCCATGACCACCCTTCCACCCTTCAGTGACAATCCGTTCACCCTAACCTCTGTTTTTAGAGGGACTCTCAGTTACACCTTGGGAGTTCCTAGAGAAGAAAGACTAGGTCTTGTTCCAGGAGCCCGAGGCTAGAAATACACCGGGAGAAACAGCTCCACTTGACCTGGGCCCCCTGCAAGGAGGCAGAAGAA